ATCCTCTGTCTTTATCTCCATTCACTCCCTATGCTCTCTGCTACGCACTATAGTCTTCCAACCACCAGCTAAACACTTTCACACTGATCCTCCTCCTCCATCATTCTTCCTCTTGTAGCTGGATCAGCATCTTGAACACCATAAATGTCACTTTATTTGTTATTTCTTTCAAAAGCAGCAATGGAGCTAACACCCTTAAAGGGTCAGTTCACCCAAATTACAAAAAGACAAATGGCTTCCCGCTCACCGCTAGTGGTATCAATCCATGCAGGAATTTTCAAAAAGTTGTTATCTCCTGATATCTTCACAATGGAGGTGAACTGAATCCAGTTTTTTGTTCGTCACGGTGGATGACATTTTAAAAATTAACCAGCGACGATTGTTTTGAGAAACAGTCCCTCTGTTACTGTGAATAATCCACAGACCTCGCTGTAAATGGCTTCAAGCGGAACAACTTACTACTGACGAGATAGTTCCTATTAAAACTGCTGACTACATGTGCTGGTTAATTTTCAAAATGTACGCTTTTTAATGCTGTGAGCAAGGCCATAGCCAGCGTTTTAAAAAATAACCGACTGAGATCACGAGTCAGAATCACCACAAAAAGTGTTTTTTAATAACTTTTATTCAGTGAGGAGATCGATTATATTTTTCTTCGGGTTTAATTTAAATGATGCAGGTCTTTCAAGGAAATCATGAACGCCGTATAAACTCTGCACAACTAACCTGACGGAAAGGAACAAATATCTTTGTCTCTCCCCCCCCTATAATTAGTGTAATTAGTAGATTACACATTTCTCTCCAGGACATAAATTATTAGGAATTTACATACCTGTAAATTAAGAATAAGATGTTAAGAAAAGATAAAATAGACTCTGAAGAGGTAGTAAGTGGATTTTAAGTTGAGATTATTTTGTCATTGTTTTTTTTAACATATGAGGCTAAATGCTGTTTCAAAATTACATCTAAAACCCTCATTCGTCACTATGTTCCTAACTGTGAGCGCCACAAACATATTCACTTCTGTTGTTTTGGAGTTGGAGGAAGAATCTGTATGAAAATGATCTGTATGGCAAGATACGACAGGAGATAAGTGATATGTTTTTTGTGTGTGTAATTTGGTTGAACTGTGCCAGACTTTTTAGACAAAAATCCAGAAGCTACATAAAACATTTCTTATTAAAGGAATGAAATCACAGTTACAAAGGAGGCAGCACGAGATGTACGTTCTTAAAAAAGCCTGAAAAATCATGCCCTATTACACCAAAATAGTCTCCAGTCTTAGAATCACCTGCATTGACTAACGTCGGTTAGTAAATTGATATTTGCTTAAAGACGCTTCTGAGTACAGCTTGAAAAACAAATCCCATGATTAGACCAAAACCATCACTGAATGTATCTAATACCAGTAATTGTGTGTGTATAGCCTGATATACCTCATTCCTCTGTTCCCCAAAGTGAGTCACATTGTTGCACTGGGTGACACTGGGTACCTTCATTACAATGAACTGTACACACTGTAGTTTGTATTTTGACCCACACACACCAGTTTGGAAAAGGGCAGGCACTTTCAAAAAATACTCTGCAGGCAATTGGATGAACCGTCTCTCTGTCACCGTCTATCACAGGTGAACTTCAACCAGTCAGATCCACAGTCAGAATCAGATCTTGGTCTCTCCAGTTCTGATATAACTGATGCTAGCAGCGTCTACGCTAACCTTGTTAGCAGCCGCCATTGTGGTTAAAGGATGCCGATTGGTTTGGCACCACTGTACCGGCCACAGAAGAATCAATTGAGGCCTGAAAAGATGGATTCTCGCATGATCTGTTAACATACACCATCCTGCTTCACCAGATACTCACTAGGGAACCACATGTGGATTAATCCGCCACTGAAAATAGTCCCGGACATTAACTCCTGTCTGAGTGAAGTTTGATGTTTTATTTGTGTACTCATAACTTTGTAATTGAAATTTTGCACAACTGTGAATTTAGTAACTGTTTTTAATTTATTGTATGTTCCATT